CTACAACTGTGCAGCCTTCACCACTCTCTACAGAGCTTTTCTTTCTGCACCTGTGCAGCCTCCATGCCACACGTTGATGCTGGAGCACAGGATGCTCTCCACAGCACACCAGTAGAAGGAGGTGAGGACTGAGCTTCCTAGTCCAGCTCACCTTATCCACCTGAGGAAATAGAGTGTCTGTGCTTTCTTGATCGGGCTGGTAGTGTTGTTGCCCCAGCTGAGGTTGTCATTCAGGTGCACACCCAAGTACTTGTAGCTGGAGACCACTTCCACTGCAGATTAGAGCTGTCATTTCTAACCCGTGCCCGAAGCTCGGCCCGACCTGAATTCGGGCCAGGCCATAATAATGTGTCAGGGCAGTCTCAGATTTTGATGCGGTTTTATGAATCATACAGTACAAAGGAATCAAAATAAAAATGCACAATATACAATTGTGTTAATGTACTTGTAGAGGAGGAGGCAGTAATTTTACTGATGAGGAAATTAATAAAGTAGGGTGCAGCAGGAAACCAGACCATGAAAAGGGACTATCGCTGGCGCATTGCGCAGCAATTACGCATGGCCCTGCCCACCCTGCTTTGCTCCTCTTATTTAATCTGAAATCCATGATCACCTCCTTTGTCTTCTTCACACTGATATGAAGGTTGTTCAACCTGCACCAGTTCAGGTGTCCCACCTCCTGCCTGTAGCCGGACTCATCATTGTTTGTGATGCATCCAACCCCCACTGTATCATCTACAAACTTTACAGTGTGACGGCCTGGATGGGTATGTGCACAGTCATATGTGAGCAGAGTGAACAGGAGGGGGCTCAACACACAACCCTGAGGGGAGACAGTACTGAGGGTTATGGTGGAGGAGGAGAAGTTGTGGATCCTCACAGACTGTGGTCTGTTGATTAAGAAATCCAGGACCCAGTTGCACAGAGAGGGACTTAGTCCTAATGTGAGAACTTTGTCCATCTGGGTCTGAGGAATCATGGTGTTGAAGGTAGTCATGAAGTCCACAAAGCGCACACGGATGTAGGAGTCCTTCTGCTCCAGGTGGGTGAGAGCAGTGTGGACCACAGAAGAGATTGCATCCTCACAAGCCTGCTATCACTTTGTGACGTAAACGCTATAACTACAATGAAGTTATTTTCTGTATAAATAAAGGTTGAATTAAATTTTACTATTTATCTGCATATGCATAACACCATATCAGAGCCAAGGTACAACAACCTGGAGCAGAAAAACTCTTACGTCCGTATGCTCTTTGTGGACTTCACATCTGCCTTCAACACCATGATCCCCAAAACCCTGATGGACAAACTATCCACACTAGGACTAAGCCCCTCCATCTGCAACTGGGTACTAGACTTTTTAACAAACAGACCACAGTTAGTGAGGATCCACAACCTCTCCTCCTCCACCATAACCCTCAGCACTGGCTCTCCTCAGGGATGTGTGTTGAGCCCCCTCCTGTTTACTCTGCTCACATATGATTGTGCAGCTACCCATCCAGGCTGTCACGTTGTAAAGTTTGCAGATGATACAGCGGTGGTGGGATGCATCACAAACAATGATGAGTCCAGCTACAGGCAGGAGGTGGAACACCTGGAGAGCTGGTGCAGAGAGAATAACCTTCACATCAATGTGAAGAAGACAAAGGAGATGATTGTGGACTTCAGAAGGAACAAAAACACCTACACCCCCCTGAACATAAGAGGATCTGCGGTGGAAGTGGTCTCCAGCTACAAGTACTTGGGTGTACACATGAATGACAACCTCAGCTGGAGCAACAACACCACCAGCCTGATCAAGAAAGCTCATCAGAGACTCTACTTCCTCAGACGGCTGAGGCGAGCTGGTCTGGGAAGCTCAGTCCTCACCTCCTTCTACAGGTGTGCAGTGGAGAGCATCCTGTGCTCGAGCATCAATGTGTGGCATGGAGGCTGCACAGCTGCAGAAAGAAAAGCTTTGCAGAGAGTGGTGAAGGCTGCACAGAAATCTGTCGGAATCAGCCTCCCCACCATCACAGACATCTACACCTCCAGATGCAGGAAGAGGGCCACCTGCATCATGAAGGACCCCACCCACCCAGCACACACACTTTTTGCCCCACTCCCCTCAGGAAGGAGGTTAAGGAGCATTAAGTGTAGAACCACTAGACTGAGGAACAGCTTCTACCCTGAGGCTGTTAGACTCATGAATCTCTAACTAGAATAATCACTGTGAAAAACCATATCATGTTGCTGCTGATCTGTTTCATGTTGCTGCTGATCTGTTTCAATGTTGATGTGTTCATGCGTGCACATCTGCTCACAGACTCATGTTCATGTTTGTGCTGATGTTCAATGTTTTATGTTATGAGTGCTTAGTGTATATTTAGTTGATGTTTTTCTTAGTTCATATCTTAGATGTTATTACTGTTTTTCTTATACATTTTATTGTTGGATGTAACTGGGACCCTGTGTACATAATTTCGTTCCACCACATGTACCACATGAGGTGCGAATGACAATAAAGAAACTCTGACTCTGACTCTGACTCTCTGACTCTGATCAGTACTGGAGTTCCCCAGGGTTGTGTTACTTCTCCTGTCCTCTTCACCATTTACACAAATGACTGCATCAGCAGCTGCCCCAGGAATTACGTTTTTAAATTCTCTGATGATACTGCTATTCTCAGCTTGCTGCATGAGGATATGGACTCCTCATCATATTTTAATGAGGTTCAGTCTTTTGTTCAATGATGCAATGACCACCACCTTGCTATTAATGCCAAGAAAACAGAAGAGATGCTGATTGACCCCTGGTCTCTAAGTGACAATCTCCCGCTTTTTATTCAGGACCAGAAAATAAACCGGGTCTGTTCTTACAGATATCTGGGTGTTCACCTAGACAATCTGTTCAAGTGGGAAATTCATGTTAATATGTTGTGCTCTTGGCTACAGCAGAGACTGTATTTTTTTTTAACGTAGACTCAGAATCTTTGGGGTTAACCAGGTTCTAGAATTCTGGTTCTAGAATTGCGCCGCTCAAGGTGGCTGCATGTTGGAGCAGCTCTGTTACTTTCATGCTGAGATTTTGCTTTTGGAAACTTTAATACCTCTTTTTCTGGATGCAAATCACATTTTTTGGATGGTTGTTTCCTCTGGTATCAGACGCTGTGCAGCTGGAAGGATTTTTACTGAAACTTTTTTAGTTTTGGACATTTGTTATGATGCGTAACCATGGAAACAAGGCAGTTTTCTACAACCAACAGCAGCTGATTAACATCTCAAAAGTTCAAATAATATCTCAACTACAGCCCCAAATCTCAAATAAGTTGAAAAGGGTGTTCTGTGGATGCATTCTCATCTACCTGCCAGCTGTGCTCGAGTGCCTGACCACTGAGCTCCTGGAACTAACAGGAAACACGGCTCATGACAGCGGAAGGACAGGATTGTCCCTCGGCACCTACAGTTGGCTGTCCGCAGCGATGAGGAGCTCGGCAGACTGCTGGGAGGAGTGGCTATCGCTCTGGGAGGAGTTCTGCCCGGCATTCAGGCGGTTCTACAGCCCGGGGGAACCGAGAGGCCAGCCAAGTCTGGGTGGACGGATCGGACGGCATCTGCAGCCAGTTTCTTAGGATCCACTGTGGGATGGACCTTTACAAGAGATCCTTCCTGTCTACAACCATCAGCATCTATAACATCTTTTAATGAAATGAGGATAACGAGTTACAACAACAAATAATTTCCCTTTGGGATTAATAAAGTATTTTTTAATTTGAATTTGAAGCTTATGGTTTTATTCTATCAAGCCGTATTGGAAAGTATCATCGGGTTTGGAATGTCGGTGTGGTATGATAATCTCTCTGTGCAACTTAAATCTAAACTTAGTTGCATGGTACAAACTGTAATGAAGGTGATAGGAAGAACTGATCACCCCTCCCTGCAGTCTATCTATGATGAGTCTGTTCTCAGACTTGCTCGGAGGGTGCTGTCTGACCCTGCTCACATCCTCAACTCACAGTGCAAACTGTCACCATCTGGAAAACGGTTTAGAGTCCCTGCTTGTAGGCTTAACATATTTAAAAATTAATTTGTTCCTACATCAATCAGATTGTTAAACAAAGTAAGCATATAGTTTTTTGTTATGCGCTGATGCTCTGGTCTCATTGTTGTCATTTACTTGTGGAATGCATGTGGGAATGTGCAATATGTGTTTTTATTGAATTATGTGTTTTTACTGAGTAATAGGTGTTTTATATTTTTGTATTTTATTGTGGGGTTCACATGATTTTATTGGTTGTAGCGTGTTTAATTGTGGAAGAAGCCTTGTTTAGCGCACAATGTCCAAGACAAATTTCCCCTTGGGGACAATAAAGTATCTATCTATCTATCTGTCTGTCTGTCTGTCTGTCTGTCTGTCTGTCTGTCTGTCTGTCTGTCTGTCTGTCTGTAAATGTTATAAAAACAAGCTACAGTTATTTTTTGAAAGGTTTTAGCCAAGCTAAATATGTTTTTCTCTCTATTTTGACATTTTATTGTGTACATATTTGCCACCTAGGGGCATGTCAAGGGTCATTCAGAATCTTTGTGTATGTGGACACTAAAAATAAAATTAATAGAAAAAATATAATTTTAACTATATGTCCTGTATAATGTAAACAGAGCCAGAAATGAACAACATTAATAACAAAGTCTTGTATCGTGATGTACAAAATATACTAGTGGAGCATGGAGAGTATTACTTGATAAATACTTTTGATGAAAAATTGATATTGAAAAAAACATAAAGGTGGTAGAAAAAAACAGAACAAAAAAGTAAAATTGATTGTGCTGAAACAGTGATTCTTCCAAATGATGATAATTATACAGCAAAATTAAAATATACCATTTAAATGTTACAAGTATTTTTCACATTTTCGACTAGTTCAAAATTATTCACCAAGAAATAAAATATTTCTCAATTTCATCGTGTTCTACATAATAATTTGCCCTTTTCTTTCTTTCTTTCTTTTTATCTTGTTGCAGCCCTGGTGACCAGTGCAGTGGAGGAAGAGGTTCGCTGCCCCCTCGGCCAATTCCCGTGTGGTAACATAAGTGAATGCCTTCCTCAAAATTTGCAGTGTGACGGACGCACAGATTGTCCCAATGGAGCTGATGAGTTGCTCTGTGGTAAGTGAAATATCATCTCTGTACTGTAAGATACTGGGAAACATAAATGTAATACAGAGTTGTTTATCTTTCTTTACCTTATCCAAATAAATGCCTTTAAATGCACCACAAAAAAAGGTTAAATCATGTCATCTGGAAAAGTTTAACTGCACTCCTCTTTGGTATCTGCTCCTAAACTGTATTTCAGTTTTTATAGGTTATAAATGATTTTAATTCAGTCAACATTGATATTGGGTTTTATTAATGCAGCAAAATGATGCAAACATGATCTGGAGATGACTGCATCCCACATAAAGTCTGTTGAGTTTCAGGCTCTAGATTGTATTGGCTCAGATTCTACTTAATCATTTAATATAATATAAAGGAAGCACTTATTAGTCTTTCCTTGGACCATTCCTTGAACTACCCTCCCACAACCCAGCCACTCTTCACTGCAGCAGAGTGTTATCTAAACAGAAGGCGTATGACTGGAATAACTCACTGGATTGCCAGAAATATTTTCTCTACTGTCCTTTACCTTCTCTACTGATATGAGGATTTCCAACTGAGGTGGGGCAGTCAACCTCTCGGACGGGTTGAAACTAAACACCTCTCAGCCCTCTGCTTTGTTGCCATTCTGCTGGATGAAAGGGAAATGGAAGCTAAAAGTTTAAATCAATAGTTCTCCATTGGGAGCCTATTAATCCTCTCAAACACCTCCATTCACTTTCCAGATCAAAGTTCAAAATGTATCATCTGTAATACCTGGTCCGATCCAAGAAGCCACTCACCTCATTTTAAATCTTTGGCAGGCTGTGGCTGTTGTGGTCTTCTTGATTTATGACCACACCTGCCAACATTCCAAGCATTACTCCAGATGCTGTACTTCCCTATGTCTAGTTTGCTGTCTTCTTTGATTTTAATTTGATTTACAACCTGCCTTGAAGGTCAGAGCTCCACACCGTCCACCCACATGTGGCTGTATCACTTTCAGAACTGTTTTTTCTTGCTTTTATGGCAGCGTACACTCATTCATGATGCTCGGTGATAGTTGTGTGTGTTCTGGCAGTGGAGGGGAACACATCTGCAGCTTAACATTATCTACTTTCTGAAAGGCTGAGAAATGGCCATCATAAAGGAAGAATGTGGATTGAGTGAAATTTGGAGGTTCTGACCCCAATTAATTTCTGTTCTTCTTGAGCCTGAGGCAGACTTTCCAGTGACAGCTGCCCAACCAAAGGAAGCTTTGATTTTAAATCCAAGAAGTATTGAATTCAGTTTTACTGAGGTTTGGACCTTCAGTAGCAAGCTTCCCTGCCAAACAGCAATTAGCTTCATCTTAGTGAATTATTTCTTCACCAGCTGCTCCATGCAGGTGGAACAGGAACGAGCTGAGCAGAGGTGAGAGTGTGTATCTTGAAGATATTTAGGTGGTGCTTAAACTAGACAATTTAATCTACAAGCCTTCTTTGGTAGAAGGCAACAATTTAATCCTTGGTTTAGGTGACAACAGCCTCTTGTGATCAAGAAAGTAGCACTTTTACCAACTTTTGTCAGTCCTAACCATAGACTTACTGTATATAAAACAATGAACAGGTCACAGCACCTTGTGATTCACTGAGGGAACAGCAGCCATTACCAAAATGCCCAAACGTTTACACTTGGCGTTTTGACTAAATAGGTCTGAGTAAGGGTTGACTATGCAAGAAATGTCAAAAATAATCACAAAATATATGTAATATAATAACATAATATTTGAATGTGCAGTAAATAAATACTTTAAAATGCCAGAAATCTGTGTGTGCTATGGATATTCCAACAGAGAAGGGGAAGGGAAAATGCCAACATGTCTTCTTTCACAAATCAGCAGATTTGCTCCTATTTACCTCAGTGTGAATGTGGTCCAACCAGAATGAAAGCTAATAATATAACCTTTTAAAAGTAGCCTATAAAGCCAATGTGATAGCTGTTCATTTTTGAAGTGGCTAGTAGATAGCTTCTGTGGCATATCTAGCTATGCTGTACAGGCTGAATCATGCTACAGTTTAGTACAAATTATTAAATAGTACTGTATAAGCTGGTGTTGCCTCATCTGCTCTCCTTTCATGAATTCTAAAAATGTACTTTTTAAGCTTAGGTATAGCTTAAACACTCATCGCTGCAAAGAGGTGCAACTAGTAGTGCCTACATTTACACAATTTACATGTTAAAAAAATTAGTTTCTAATTCACCTAGTTGAAGTCATAATAATTAAGTAGCTGAAACGTCTTGAAAGCTTTGAAAGTTAGTCATTAATTATTGATTGACATCAGATCTAGTTTAGATCATCATTAGTTATACATTATATTTTTCTTCTATAACATCTAGCAGTTTTACATGACTGCTCTCTCTTGCTCACAAATAGGTTCACCTCTCGTCTAAGTCTAGCTTCCAGAACTCTCTTCCAGATCTTCATTGTGTGACTCATCAAATGAAATGACGATCACTCAGTTAAAATAATTTCTCATAGGGGCTCATTTTGCCTGCACGGGTCACATTTGTAATGTTTACCAACAAAACATTGTGGCATCAGTGTCCTTTGAAGCAAGTTGTGGTTCCATAAACATTTTAAAAATATTAGTTATGAAATATCAAACACGAACAAAAGAACACTTCACAGCTGCCCTCCCTTCAGTCCCAGATAAAAAGGTTGCTCTCTCTGTGCATCATTAAGCGTGTCACTGAAAATCAAAGCAAGCTCACAAACCTGCCACTCTGTTCTTTATAAAAGCACGCCACAGGAGTCACTTTACTCTATCAGAGTGTCAAAATGCAGCTCCAAGGCCACCGTTACACTCAGTGATCCAGTTATAGCATGTTTACAGCATGTAGCAAACAACGGGGCGATTTTATCAATGGATTCAAGAAGAAATTTGTGTGATTTGTCATGGTTCTTCGCTAATGTGTCACATCTCCTTGGAAAGTAATGGTAGCTCATTTTAGTTTTAGGTGGAGATTTGCAGGTACTTTAACTTGACTTATTTTAATAAAAAAAGGTTGTGAAATATAAAATGTGGGATATGGACAAACAGTTCTTTCACAACTTATTTTCACTCCTCTGAGTTTCCATGTCATCTTTGTTGATCTGTAATTTCTCCGAATCTTTGCTCAACCGATGAGACACTGGAAAGAAAAATCTTAGTGACTGTACTTTCTTCAACTAATTGACTTCGACAAGAGGAAACTTGTCAGTAGGGCAGAAATGCATATGATGTATGAGCAAAATATTGAAAGAGGATCTCCAACACATATTTCGAGTTAAAAGCTTGTTAGATCTTTGTTTACATTTTTATTAACTGTTTGGAGTAAACTCTGTTTCTTAGCAAAATATCTTGTGAACAAATGGAGTTTTAATAAAATCTTCTGGAAATAGTCATTAGATGTGCATCTACAAATGTTTAACTTTTGAAGCCATCCCAAGATGGCTGCCACAGCCAGCTGACCATTGAAAACCCCAAAATGGTTATAATTCAGTCACTTTTCCAGATATTGTATTAAGATTTGGTGTAGCTGTAGTTGAGAGTAATTTACAAAAAAATACTCCAAATTCTAGTCATTGTTCAGATTTTTAGCATGAAATGTAGGAATCAACCATGTTAGTTTGTTAGCAAAATATCTCATAATCCACTGGATGAAAATTAATGAAAGGTTCAGGAAATATTCACTGAAATATTCATTCATATATAACTGATTTATTTTTGGAGACAGTCGAGTTCAAGATGGCTGCCACAGCTAATTAATATAGAACAATACAAAACTGCCTATAACTCAGTTCTACAGATATTGAGCTAAAACTCTTGAGTGTAACATTTCACAATATTGCATGGAATCGCCCATCATTTTATTTATAAGGTTTGACCAAAATGGCTAGAGAACCTTGTCATTTAATAGGATGATCTTAGTTGTAAACTCAACAACAAAAGGTGGTGGGTAATATGCACTCTTTCAAGGAATGCTAGGCCTTTAATTTTAGAATATGTATCAACAACCAGAACCTCGAAAAGCAATTCAATTTCTCTATTTTCCCTAACTGCCGGTACTTATTGTCAAATTACTGGGGTAAAAATAATAATAATAATAATAAAACATTAAGGAAAAAATATCTAATTTTCCCAGTCAGTTCCACAAACTTATGGGTTCCTCATAAAAACGAGATCTATTATGACTTTCTGTGCCAGACAGCAGTGCGCCCTTTCATAGATCCTAACGTAAATCCATGCTAGCCTTTGCTCTTGTTCTTGGCAGTGTTTTAAACTGCTTAATTGTAAGTGTTGTTTTAGTGTTGAGTCTCAAGTTTTAAACATTCACCTTTTGTTGTTGAAATGGAAGACATTATTAATTTAATCTTCTTGTTTCCTTCAGAAGACCAGACTCTACTTTCTCACCCCATCCAAACTTTATTAAGGAGGAAATAACTTCAAAAACATGATTAGGAAAACAATATTACTGTTCCCCAACTTCACATGCAGCAAGTTCGCCTTGCCTTTAAAAACTTGTTTCAATCGTCCTGGACACATTTTTCTAAAGTTGCTAAACCTTGCAAACTTAGGAAAATAAAAAGTAGTTGTATTTCAGAGGACTAATTTTCTGCTTCTAGTATAGTGGCACGGATATCATTATCCAGAACTTTTCTTCATATCAAAGAGTCTTGATTAACTCACCAGGATATTTGAACATTACTGCATTTTTCATGATTTAAATAAAGAATTTCATTTTTTCCTGTGAGGTCACACATCAGTTTTCCTTTTGTCTTATAACATGGGCAATAAACCAGTTATAGTTTCTGTTAAGGAAAATATTCTTTCCTATCATCAGGATCAAGGGTTTAAAACTTTTTGGCCCTTCTTACTTACATTCCGTGCTCATCAGACGTCAGTTTGTAAAACATTAGAAAAAAAAGTCTTAAAAGCAAAGACATTTGAACCCCAGCTATCACAACTGTCCTCGTCTGTGTTGTTCTTGAAATTAAATATTGAACTGACACACACCATTCTTGTTTAGTTTTGGTAAAATGTCTGACAGAATAATTTTTACTCCATTCCTGTCTCACTGTCCTTTTCAGAAAAAACCCAGGATCAGTTACTTTCTTTCAAAACATGCAGACTGTCTAAAATGTAATTTTGTACTGTCCATGTTGGTATGGGCTCAACTGGCAATTGGCTCTCATGTGTGGTGTGTTGAGTCAGTACAATGATGCTTTTATAGGCCACATTACGCAGCAGTGACTTCATGCTCAGCAGGTTAAAAAAAATCACAGCCATGTTTCCATCGCTGCAAGTTGCTTTATTTCTTCATTCTACATGCATTTTACCAAATAAAAACAAACAAAACAGCAATTATTTTTATGTATTTAATGTTTTAAAGGGATAGTCTGGCCATTTAAACACTGAAAATGAAAGTAACAAGTGAAATACATTAGCAACAGACCTACATTTGCATAGAAACATCTAATTAAACTGTGTCGTGCAAAAATGTTGAGGTTTATTTTTAGCTAATGTAGCGTCATGGCAGTATGTTGTTCTTGAGATAGAATTGTTTTGTAAGATTAAAAAACATGTCCAACCCTAATTCTTTTTTTTTTTTTTTTTTTTTGATGGCCTCCCTTCTCCCCTTACAGCCATCCTCTCCACACCATTATTATGAAATATTTATTCTAGTGACTATCTAGTGTAGGTTTTTTTTTATTTTTATTTTTTAATAGGATAGAAAGAAAGAAAAGACAAAGTAAGACTCCAAAATATAAGAAATATACTCAAAGAGAGCACACGGCAAAACACCCGGCCACTGTCTGTTCACCTGCAAAGAACATGACAAAACACAGCAACAAAATACATATGTATAAAGAACTTAAAATATTCATGGCTTTGCAGTAAGTTTCCATAAATATATATGCCCATACCTATGCCTATATACATACATACATACACATGAATATACATTCATATACATATCTATATATCTACATATAAAGCCTACATAAGCAACCCTAATTCTAACTCAAGTCACATCTTAGCCCTAAATCTAACCCCTAACTCAAAAATACCATTCCATAATATTAGGACCCAATTTTGGTTTCTGTAAGGGAACCTCATCACTACTAGTTACAGGGGTGCTTGAAAATTTGCGAATTCTTTAGAATTTTCTATATTTCTGCATAAATATGACCTCAAACATCATCAGATTTTCACACAAGTTCCAAAAGTAGATAAAGAGAACCCAGCTAAACAAATGGGATAAAAATATTATACAAAGTACTTGGTCATTTATTTGTTGAGGAAAAATTATCCACTATTACATATTTGTGAGTGGCAAAAGTATGTGAACCTTTGCTTTTAGTATCTGGTGATGTTTTAGGACTTATTTATGCAGAAATACAGAAAATTCTTATAGGTTCACAAACTTTCAAGCACCACTGTATGATAATAGAAAATGCCCCAACAAGGTTACAAAATCCAAGTACACACCAAATTAAAAACAAAGTTCCTGTCTGATTTGCCAGACCTCAGAGAAAACAATGAAAAGCTGCACATGGCGTTGCTGTTTTGGATCAGGAGTTGGCACTTTTTGAGAGTGACTGGAGCTAAAACAAACAATTTTTGACAGGATGCTGCAGAAGGAGTTGTACAGATGTAACCAACAAATTCACAAGTTCTGAGACATTTCTTTATATTTAATTCACAAATTAAAATATAAAAGGTTCATTATAATTCAACTACGTACACCAAAGCTGAAAATAAAAATACTGAATTAGAAAATTTGCTGCAACTGAACCCAACCTACCAAAGAACAGGGGCTCATGTTGCATCCAAACCCCCCAGCATCCATAGTCAGGAGACAGTCACAGACCCAAATGGTTTTACAACTGATTGTGATGAACATGTTTAACTAAAAGATGACAAAAGCATAACTTTGTCTAATTTGTTATTGTCTTCTTTCTTGTGTTGTCACATCCTCTTTGCGAGAAAATAAAGATAAAAAATGGTGTTACTTTACCTCTATCTTGCTGTATGAACAAAACAATGACCTTTTTGTTTCTTCTTTCAATTTAAGCTAAAGTAATTTCTAATGGATGTAAGTTTGAGTCTTGTTAAAACAAAAAGCAGCATCAAAAAATAAAGAAATAAAAGCCCAGAGAAATAAGAAAGTTTGTCACATTTGACTAACAAAGTGAGGTGCACTGCTTTAATCATGGTGGTTATTATCTGTACCCAAACGGGCTGGAATGAAGTACCTGGAAAGCAGATGCTGGCAGGAACACTAAATAGACTCTGTTATTCACACTCACTGTTTTGATTTAGAAGATGCTATAAAGGTGGGCTGGATGGAGAAGTGGGAGAGCACTGCCAAGAAATAAACCCAGAGAGTGAGAGCACATGTGGCATCAAGAATAAATGCAAGTGACAGGAAAAAGAGGGGACACATTGGGAATATGACAAGTAGCAGCATCCTCTAGGTGTCCTGACTAGTGAAAATATTGTATCATACGATCTGGTGAATAACTGGTAGTCTGTACAGGGTGTCTCTTGCTTCTCACCCTTCAAAGCTGGGATAGAAGTCAGACTCCTAAACAGGGCAGAGGTAAAAGAAATGGATGGCTATACGTCATACCAAGATGTTTGGGCGACTACAATTAGGCGTGTCACGAAGTGTCTCCACAACAGAGCGATTTCTCTATTTCTTCTATTTACCAGAGGCTCACAGTCTCGCTGTAGCATCAGGGAGAATAGCCGACTGGAAGATGAGTTTGGCAGTCACGCAGAATGTATTGCCATCCCTAAATTTAGACATAGTGTGTGCCACAGCTACAACGTGCTCTGCTTTAAGCTGCTGATGCAAAATCTGTCTTTCCTTTAAATCACCAAAACAGAAATTCTTACCTGTCGGTATGTAAACCCTTCTCTTAGTAATAATCACGTATAGTTCATTGCTGATAAGGGGTTGCTAGGCTACAGGCATTAAAAGCGAATGATGGAAAGAAACTCAAACGGATGAGTTTGTTGAATATAGCTTATTAGAATAGTCTTTCTGTTCTACAAAGTAGTATTTTTATATATTATGACATACTCAAGTGTAGCTTCCTTCCTTAGATAGAAAACTTTTCTAATTGGCATTTATAATGAATGTGAACGTTTTTGTTTAGTGCCCTGAGATAACTTCTGTTGTGCTTGGCGCTATATAAATAAATTGAATTGAATTGTACAAAACAACACAATATATTCCAACATGTTAATATTCATTACACAAAAATGATGTGGAAAACAAATCCTGCCCTGTGATTCAATAGTTTGTAAAACCACTTTTAGCGGCAATTGCTTAAAATATTAATTTTTCTATTTGACTTTGAGTCTCTCACATAATTGTGGAGAAATTGTGACCCACTCTTCTTTACAATATTCTTTCAGTTCATTAAGAATTGTTCATTTGTTAATGTATAGCTTTCTTAAGACTCAACCTCAGCTTTGACTGGACCATTGCTACACCTTCATTCTTTTCTTTTTCAGCCTTTTTCTCATAGATTTGCTGCTGTATTTGGGATAATTGTCCAGTTTCAGGACTCAGATTGGCTCTGGCTTCAGATGGCCTCACGATGGACTCTAAATTACTTTGGTGTAGAGTGAGTTCAAGATCAACTTGAGGTTCCCCTGTCCAGCAAATCACAGCACCCCCACCACCACTCTGCTTGACTGTTGGTATGAACAGTTTGTGTGCTGTGCTTGGTTTATACCAAGCATAGCGCTGTGCAGTATGGGTAAACCTAACTACTTAGGTCTCACCTGTTCAAAGGACATTAATCCAGAACTTAAGTTGTGCTGCCATGTTCTTTGTAGACAGACGTTTTCTCCTCCAGCCTCTCTAAATGAGCCATACTTTGTATTTTTTTTTAACCAGCAACCATTAACCTGCAAAGAGAGGCAACTGAATCTGATATGTGGCTCATGAGCTTAATGTAAACATGTCTGAGCATTGCATGGTCTGACCTTGGGGTGAATTTGCTGGCACATCCACTTTGGGAAGATTGTCAGCTTGTCTTAAAAGTTTTCTGCTAGCTGATAATCTCCCTGTAGAGCAATGGACACTGAATAGTTTAGAAACAGAACCCAGGCAGGTGGTCAGCAACAACAGTTGCTTGTTTAAGGTGATGTCTTTAACTCTTCATTGTGTGAACACCTATATGTTCTAGATTATAAACAGACATAAGTCTTGCTTTTGTAAATGTGGTCACACTGATGATGATCAGGTGCATCCAATTAGAAACTCCTGGCTGCTACTTTTCCTTGAATCCTCTGAAAACAGTTATGGTCGGTCTAGTTTTTCACACTCAGCTTTTAGTCTTTGTTTTTGTCTAATAAATATTGACCTGGTGGAAATTGTTGTGTGTCTTTGTATAATTGAAGCTACGATGTGAATAATTGGAGGACCTACTGTAGCTATAAGGCCAGTTTATTTTTGTTATGTCCTGATGTGATGTGAGGAGGTGGACTTTTCCCCCGGTGAGTGTTAATGTTGGCTAACTTGGGCACAGTGATTCAGTTAAATATGACAGCTTCTCGTACAAATCTGCTCTAGTGTGAAGGAATGTGTTGATGAAGTCCAGTTAAAAAGACACACACATTTTTATATAATTACAGATGATGGATTGCTATAATCCACTAACCACCTGTGATTTAAATTGTAATTAGTTTAAACATCTATATATGTCAACAATCAACTTATAACCTAAGAAAGTTTTACTAGAATGGTGTGTTAACAAATCAGATCCCTCATACACCTTGTCTTAAAAAAAATAAAAACCTCTCTCAAATCTCAAGTCATTCAAGATACAAAGATGTGACATGCAGTGTTTTAGTTATTTCATAAAAATGTGCTGCTGGTGAGAGTTTATCTTCTGGACTTATCTGTTGAGTTCAGATACCAACACTGTAATATTTTCTCCTTCCATGACTTTGCAGGTGACAACTTCGGAATGGCAGACTTTGTCGGCAAAACAATTCAGAACAAAACTGTGACAAGCAACACCTCCTCTGGGTGCTGTAAGTGTGTCTGCATATTATTTGTGCTAATTTTTGAACATCTTTGTAGCATCAACTTTGATCAGATGAGACAGTTATAGTGTTTTGCTTGTTTTTGTTTACACTCTGCTTTTGTCCTTCATTCTTTTATTAGCTAAATTATTAGCAAGCTCAAGCTAGACTATTGAAAATTGTGCTAACAACGTTAGATTAACACCCCCCCCCCCCCCCAACCTATACTGTACAGCACATCCTGTGATTAATTCTAATGTTTGTATTAATTTTAAAGACACATTTCTGCACTGTATTTTTTTTATATTCTTCATGTTGTGTCTTTTGACTGCTGGTACTCACGTCTAAAAGTTTTTATTTGTGTCTGTGTGTAGTCTTGCAGAAGTTTCCAGCTGGTTGTAGCTGTATACAAACAGATGTTACGTGCGTGAAGGTCAACCTTACAGAAGTTCCTCTCCTTTCTCCAAATGTTACCTGGTTGTAAGTACCAAAGATTGCAGTGGTTTAGTTTTACTGTTTCAAGTTAAGGATATTTTGATCATCAAATTGCATCTAGTGACAAAATTATTAAAAGCCCAGCATTCTTTGAATGCATATTTCCCACCACTTCCATGCTAGTTTAGCCTAAGAACATGTTGAGAAAGGATGGAGTTATATTTGTTTTCATAATGCCTTGGAAAAAAAAACATTTTGCACAGTCCCACGCAAAATAGTGATAGCTTGTGTCTGTTGACTGTCATTTACTACAACACCCATGTTTAGCTCAATGGCTGTAACATTCCTTGAATTATAGACATTTTTGTGTTGACTAACATCAATTAGCTGTGGTGGCATTGTTATTTTTAAAATTTAATCTGGTATAGATGTACAGACAATGATTAATTTCTGAGAGTTTCTTTAAAACTTGTCCAGTGAGTCTTAAGATATTTTGCTAACAGCCAGACAGGGTCGAACAGTTTTTGCCAAGGTTATAGATATATATGTGGTGCAATGGGTTGCCCTTTAAATATGTGTGTCAGGGACAATGCTCAGCTACTGTCACAGTTATAGACATATTTATGCATTTTCTTTAATAATTTGGCCGTTGCAGCCATCTTGAATAGTGTTGAATCCAATGTTGAACCCATCCAGATGACCTGACTTAACTTTTTTAGATTTTTCTACCTGGATTATAGAACATGCATCAGGATTTGTTGAATCTAATGTTAGGTTTCATTAAAATATATTTAGTTATTCGTGATGTTTTTTTTGCCAACAATATAACTAAATAAACATTAAAGTTCATGCTCAATAATCCAGGAAAAAAAAAAAAATCCTATATATCCTCAATAACTAAAACAAAACAAATAAACAGTGACAAAAAACCTGATTGCTCTGCCTTATCTTTCGTGGTGGGTTATAAAGAAGTCCTCAAAGTGAGTGTACTTCTAATAGATGCACTTTGGTCAGGACTTTACATTGGCTGTTATAGAACATTGATAAATATATTTTTATCAAAAGGCAAATGTACAAGTTTCATGTTTTGTTTGCAAGCAGGTGTAAAACATTGTGCCTTTGCATTATGCTGTTGAAAATTCTCTATCATCCAGATCATAACCAATCCTAAAAAAAAAAAGTTAAAAACAAAACCAACTGGACTTTTTTCTGAAGCTGAAGATGTTCAGAGTCAGAGATTCTTTATTGTCATTCGCACCTCATGTGGTACATGTGGTAGAGCGAAATTATGTACACAAGGTTGCATTTATTTAGAAGTGTATTTCACAAAGTGCAAGAACAGGCATTTAATCTGATATTATAATAACACACAGAACATACCTGGGATCCTGAACAGGCTTAATTAACATAACAAGCCAACAAGTCTGGCAAGCAAGTTACTGGTAAATTCACCAGTCCCATTCCACCTCATTGAATCCATTACCATACCATACCATTTTATTTATAGAGCACTTAAAACAGCGACAAGGCCAACCAAAGTGCTGTACAGACAGAACAACAGGTAACACACAAAGCAAAATACAAAATGAGGTAAATCAGAATATAGACATAAAAACGATGCAGATAATGACTAAAAACCAGTGTGGAGCATACATGTTCAAAACACAGATCATCTGGTGTTGAAAGCCACCAAATAGTAGTGGGTTTTTAAATGGGACTTGAAAACCGAGAGGGAGGGGGGCTGTCTGACAAGCAGAGGTAACTTGTTCCAGAGTCTTGGTCCTGCTACAGGGAAGGCCCTGTCACCTCTGCACTTAAGACAAGTTCCTGGAACTGTGAGGAGCAACTGGTCCGCTGACCTCAGGGAACGTGGTGGGACATACGGTTGTAGCAGATCAGAGAGATGGGGGGCTGTTCAGTGATTTGTAGACATACATGAGTATTTTGAACTGGATTCGAAAGTGAACCGGTAACCAGTGCAGGGAGGCCAAAACTGGTGTAATGTGCTCTCTTTTGCCTGTACTGGTTAAAAATCGGGCTGCTACATTCTGGACCAGTTGTAGTCGTGCTATGGAGGTTTGACTGATACCAAACAGGAGCGAATTGCAGTAATCAAGCCTAGACGTAATGAATGCATGTATTACTGTCTCCAGGTTATTTTTGGACAATATGGGCTTTAGTTTAGACAGCCGCCTCAGTTGGAAGAAACATGATTTAACAATCATGGAAACATGATTTAACAATCATGTTTACACCATTGAATTATTTCATCCTCTGTGTTGCTTCTCAACAACTCTGCCAACTCTGGAGGAAGATGGGGAGTGGGGTAGCAGAAGAGAAACAACATATAGTTGTCAAAAGCTTAGAGGACCCTTTTGTGGCTGCAAATAGTGATGTTTATTCCTTGATTCATGTCAGTATAGATGAACATTTAATGCATCAGTCAAAACTGCATCATGAATAGGTTAAAAAAAAAACTATACAAGTTGCTTTGCAGGACTGGCCAAGCTATGAAAAAAGTGTGACTTAAAGTACGGAAAATACAGTACTTGGATTATCATGCAGGTTAGACTGGAACTATTCGCCCTGCACATTAGAGGATTGTTAAGTCGTTTTCACACTATTTAGTCCGGTAGACTCGGTTCGGTTCGGGACCAATATTCGTGAGCTTTTGTTTACATTTGAGCTGGTGCGTTTGCATTCACACTGCACTGTGCAGTCGAGTCAACCTGTTGAACCAACCTATTCCCCCGCTCGCCTGTGGGGGTGCTGCACCAAGAACTACTGAAAGAAACGACACAAAAACCTCTGAAGACACGTCTTCTTCTTCTTCTGTAAATAAAAATAAAATGAAGTGGCATCAAGTTTTAGCAGTTTTAGGAGTTATATTTTGTCATTTTTCAAAAATGGACTTAGCATGAGCATAAGATGAGACAGAAGACCATGGAGAATATTGTTTTTCCACACAAGGCAGCTGACGGCTCCATATAAGGTCAGAGAAATGGTGTTTGTTTGTCCTGTGGAGCGGGGCCCAGTCTGTTTACATTCACACTGCACTCGAACCACGCTGGAGTTCGCTTCTACCGGACCGAGACCTAGGTTTTAGCCCGGGCCAGAGTTCGCCTTTTTGTTCCGTGACAGAGTTCGATGGCGCGTTCACACCTCCCTAAACGAGCCGGACTTTCTAGGAAAACGAGCTACAGTTCGTTAAAGTGGACTAAACAGGGCTGGTGTGAATGCACCCTTAGACTCTTTGTTTGGCTCACGAGAGAGACGTTTGATCGCTTGCATGAAACACACCAAAGAAGTTAAACCTGTGGATATCCTAACTGGACCTTTGTCAAATTAGCAAACAAATCCAAAAATCATGCTGCAGAACAAAACATCCATCTATCCATTATCTTTACCTGCTTCTTCCTTGCAGAAACTCAACAACCTATCTCACAAATGCTCAACAAAGGAGAACAGCTCTTCAGGACAAGACTTAGCAATCCACCTATACATCCATCCATCATCCATTATCTTTTACCCGCTTATTCCATTTTGGGTCACGGGGGTCGCTGGTGCCCATGTCCAGCAATCACTGTGCGAGGGGCGGGTTACACCCTGGACGGGTCGCAAGTCCATCACAGGGCCACATAGAGACAAACAACCATTCACTCTCTCACTCACACCTAGGGACAATTTAGAGTTACCAATCAGCCTAACATGCATGTTTTTGGTCTGTGGGAGGAAACCGGAGTACCCAGAGAAAACCCACGCATGCACGGAGAGAACATGCAAACTCCACCCAGAAAGGCCCCTGGACTGGGGTTTGAACCAAGGACCTGCTCGCTGAGAGGCAGCAGCTCTACCAGTTGTGCCACCGTGCTGCCTTTCCACCTATACAGTATATGATAAATTGTTCTTAGGTTTGAGAGTGAACGGCTGTTTTGTCTCTATGTGACCCTGTGATGGACTGGAGACCTGTCCAGGGTGTACCCCGCTTCCTGCACTGTGATAGGTGGATATGGGCACCAGTGAACCTGCGACCCGGAACGGAAGAAGCAGGTAAAGATAATGGATGGATGGATGGATGGATGGATGGATGGATGGATGGATGGATGGATGGATGGAGGGAGGACGTCAAATGAGAAAAAAACATCTTTCAACAGAGATGAAGGTCTCAGATTTCAACTTTCAAAATCTTACATTGCAGCATTAGGCCTGATTCCAGTTCCACTCTAGTTTCATTCACCTGTGTCTGGGACTGAGATGTGTTTTGGTCGCTTCAGTCCATTCAGAAGACACACCAAGGTGGCGTGGGGGGTGGAGTCAGCATGACTGGATGGCTTGGACAACGTGAAGAAAAATATAAATAAGTTACAAGATCTGCGGAGCTGCAACTCGTTATGCGATAAACTGATGAAAATTAATTGTGACCGCCCACATGCTGGATTAAACAGCAGTAAACGGATTTATTACCGAGAGAATATTAATGATGACACACAGCAACTTTGTAGCTATTTTATACAAGTAGTTAACCACAAAGAGAATCTATAAAGTGTGTTAATTCATTGTAGTAAATGACATGAGGGAAAGTCCGACACAAATCAGCACAGCACAGTTCTGCTCCATGTCTCTTTTGGTTTCGCTCGAAGCTCACATCTGAGCAGGAACTGGCAGCTTCATCTGTGATTTATGAAAGGCTAGAGAAAGCTTAAAGACAGACTAGCCTGTGCGGCTATTTTGTGGAACTGATCAAACATCTCTCTCGTGAGCCAGGCAAACAAAAAGCCCACCGATCCTCCACTCTGAGGGGTGAATAGTTCCAGTTTAACCTGCATGTGATGTAAATAACGAGGCCTCTCATGCAACTCTATAAAGCTTGAAACTCCACACACTCCAGACAATTTTGAATTGTTCAAGCCTCGTAGATTAGAAGCGTAATGCCATTAGCTTCAGAATAGAAGTCCAGTAGTGTTTTTATGTCTCCCTAAATTAAGATAATATAATAAAAAGAAATTGTAGTAGGAAAAAAAAGTGAATGTGTTATTTGTACATGT